CGCCGTGCGATTTTGGTATGGAAGGGTCGCCATCCTAGGTGGGTGTATAGTAGAAGAAGTAACCTTCCGGACCCCATTAACCTGGTCCCTTCTGTGATATACGAAACCCTCAAAGTGTAGACATAAAAATCGATATCATGTTGTTTCTGTAAATACTAGTCATTCCTTTGCAGCAGTCCATTTTGAAGCATTTTCTCTGCAAGTGTTGTACATACATGAAAAGAGAATAAATCTGTTAAAGCTACCTTTTTATAAATCTACTTTCTCATTTATCTGTGAAGTTCTGCACAGAAACTTTTCACACTTTTCAATACCCAACACTGGTAAAGTTTTCAAGCTGGGGTATCGAAAAGAGCAAATCTGCAAGTTCTCGCGAAAAACCCATCTGGTGAAAGTTCTACAAAAAATCGAAAATGTATAGCAGGAGGTCACCACGCGACGTCGCGCACCACTAGACATGCGTGTCGGCCAGGGCACATAATTGGTTGGGAATTTTAGTCGAGTCCGTACGACCTCGGTTGATAAGAACCCTCCCCCCCGCGCGGTCCTCTGTCCCTCCTCATCGAATCGAGGCGTCCAAAGAGGAGGCGGGATTTGGCGATGGTATTATGTACGTGTGAAACAGAAAATCAGGGAAAAGTCAACACCACTCCCACCCACTCCTAGAAGGCCAAAAAGTAAAAACGACCCCCTCCCAACAGTGAGCAAGCACGACCTCCCCCCTTCACAACGTCTGTGAGTGCGAGAATAAAAGTCAACATCAAAATAAACTTCCTCTGCCTGAATACGACCTTCCTCTCCAGGCGCCAATAAGCACCCCCCCCTTGTTGGGATTTCCCAGCGACTGTGCCCGGTGTCGGCTGCTGATTCGCCTCGCTCAGCCACAGTGGTGGAGACGCCATAAAGGCGAGGTAAGTCGTACGTGGATGAAAGCAAAGTAATTTGAAATGGGTAACCTTGGAGGTGATTACAGCGGACATCGTACGTCAAAATGTGCGCGACTCGCATGGGGACCTCATGGCACATATGCCAGCAAAAATATCACTTACCTTCGATCGCAAATATCCCATGATCCCCGCTATTGTGGCATTAGGGTCGTCGAACTGAAAAATGTAGTTCGCATCAAGTTCTATAAAGCAACTGGCGCTAGTTCAGTTGAGCACTCCCACCCCCTAAGCTGAACCGCACCAGAAACGTAGCGCGCAGGCACGTTATTTGCGCTAATGATCAAGTCTTGTACACACGACTTCAAACTTCAAATCTACGAAATTTCCGCAGAATAAAAAATTTACCTCCTGTGGCATTTCATAGGTTTCATTTCCTCCTTTCCTTATGAGCCAAGCAGCCAACGATGTAAACATGAAGAACTGCTCACCAACATTTGTGGAATTTACAAAGTAATATCTGAATATAAAGGAAATTAAGAAGAATGGAAATGAAAAAGCCTAAGATCTCGAATTCCGGCTCAAAAAAGTACGAAATCCCTAAAAGCAGGAATTTTACAGAGCAACTGGCAAACCAGATCCTAAATGGCTTACCTATGAATAGGTTTGAATGCCGAGTTCATTTTGAGGAATCCCTCCTCGTAGTTCAATAATTTCAATTTATCGACCAGGTCTTCATTTTTGATGTACGGTTCGTAGAGTTTTCCAGGTCCTTCTTGTAGATCTTGCTCGTGCTCCTCCTTCTCCTCGTTTTCCTCCATGCCTAGAAAAACAGCAAAGGGTGCTCGGACTGAAATGAACGAAACGAATTTCATTACATCAAAAACTCTGGGGAATTAAAAAAAATAGCGAATTTATATTGTGAGGTATGGAATATTGCTAAGATGCTTGTAAAGGATAGATAGTAAATCAGGTAAATCAGCTGTAAACACGAGTTCAAATAAGCATCGCCAAGGAAATCCTTTTCAACGACGGTCGCCATAGCAACAGTATGACCCAGTGCCGTCAACCATACGCAGGCGAACCGGTGCGCTTTTGAGAAAAAGATGTGGTCCAACTGGTGTCAGGGTTCAGCATTGCTGAGATTTCTCCATTTACGCGCTGCGCCATATATCCCCCCAATTCACTGTCATTTGGAGTGGGGGAGAACTGGAAAAATTTTTTTGGAAAAGTGCGAGGGAGTTGGGAGAATTCAGGACAATGGTATGTAGGCAGGGTACACCATCGTGTTAAAGGGTGATGTAGGTACGACCCTCCCC